CCCGAGAATTTAATTCATACATAGATGACACCTGAAATTGTGCGTTGAAGTTTTGAACAATGGGAAAATACTCAGACTCAGAGGCTAATGATTATTGACGTGTGTTCTACGCAGCTGAAAATGCAAGTCTAACGCGGAAACTTCATTTTCGTAAACAACGAATTTGGAGTTGATTTCTCCTGGTCGAAAGTTGAGTTGAAATACCACCCACGCTCATTGAGGGATTTAGTAAGAGGTAGTAATAAGACAGAGTGGGAGAAGGGAATTTCCCAGAATTATGAAGTAAGCTGACAACAAAGGGGATTTACTGAAATTACCTTATGCGCCGTGCACCGCGCCAGTTTGAGTGAATGTCCATAAATACGAATGCGCGAAGCGAATTAAGTAAAAAAGAAAAGGGAGGCAGAAGAGACGGAGACGAGACCAGAGACAAGAGAGAGGCCCGCGTGATTATCTGCCGACGAAAGCCTCCAACGAAAGCCTAGTGCCGAACTGTATCAAAACAGTCGACAACAAGGAAGTTAGATGGTCGTAAGTTTCAGAGTCGTTAAATAGTGTAGAAAATGAATTCGACTGAAAAAGCCAGCGTGAAGATAGTTGGTGAATGACCGGGGTACAAAAGAAAACATCCTTCCTTTGTGACCCTCTCCATTAGAGTTAGGTAACCACAGTAATAACAGACAGGAACAAAAATAACAACTTGTTTCACTGTCAGCCAAAAAGCTCTCGAGTATGAGGTGCAGGGATTTTCATAACATACTTCTGCCTTCACCTCTTTCGCCAATCCAACTGGAAGGCTACTAAAGCGGAGGAGAACGAGGTGATCGCGCCTTAGGACTCCCCCGGTCAAAATCGCCGCTCCACTCACATAATTCTATTATTCATTATTTCCGACAACAGTTAAGTCCTTAAGAGAGGAGCGGGTGCATTTGGTAATACATTTTTGGCGAGGTCATATTTAAACCTTACGAAAAATTCCACATTTTATTTAATTATTTATCTATTTCTTTGTTCATCAGTCCAGTTTCTCCTGCTAAATTCCTAAATGAAGAACAGCAACATGTGTCACCGCACTATTATCCTCTGACTGCTCGCATCAAACACAAAATAAATCTCGAGACATGGAACGTCCGAAAATTGAACATCCAGGTGGCCAAACAACAGTGATTTTGTCAGTGACAAACAGGATAATTTACGCAGGCGGTGAGAAGAACGACAAAGGAGTAGGATTAATACTAGATAGCGCATTTAAAAAATGCGTTCTAGCATACCACCAACTTTCCGAAAGAATTCTGGTAGTGAAGCTGAAATGGGAGCCTTTCAACGTGGCTATTATAGCGATCATCGCCCTCTTATATGTAAACTAAGAGTGAAACTGCGGAAATTGAAGAAGCCTAACAGAGCACCCAAACTGCAATACAACAAACTCCTGAGCGATCCTAACCTAAAAGAAAAATATATGGACAATATGAAAAGAAGATACGAGGCCAACAATGGAAACCTGAAACTAAGAGACGCTTTAGTGACATAATCAAACGATATCATCCCAAAGGAGACGGGACGAAGAAGAAAAAAAGAAATGGATGACTGATGAGATTCTCGATATGATGGAAAGGAGAGAGAAAACCCTGCCAATATACGGAACGGAGTACAGAAAATTACACAACGAAATAAGGACCAAATGCAGGCAAGCTAAAGAAGAATGGCTAAATGAAAAATGTGCAGAGATAGAAAGACTTGGTACTGCCAACAAAGAGATGCACAAACAAATGCTCGTCAACAGACTGCCTAAAATCAAAGGATGGAACACTCATATTAGAGAAGAAAAAATTCTTCAGCGATGGAGCGAGGATATTGGAGAATTCTTCCACGACGAAAGGGAGCAACCAGCAATACACAGAACTATCGACAGACCTGGAATTCTGAAAACCGAAGTAAAAGCCGCACTGGCCAAATTGAACAGAAACAAAGTAACTGAGCCAGACGGAATTGTAACGGAAATTAGATAACTTCGGCATAGACAAGATCAGCAAAATAACATGAAATCTACAACAGCGGGGATATACCGGAGGACCCCAGCAGATCTATCTTCATAGCTATGCCTAAGAAACCAGGCGCAAACGAACGCGAACTCCACCAAATAATAAGCCTAATAAGCCACGTGACAAAATTCATCATCCGTATTCTGTTGAATAGTGCGCGTAGCATAGTCAGGCCAGAGATAGGACGAGAACCGTGCAGGTTCGTTAAAGACACCAGAACAAGGAACGCGATATTCACGCTAAGAATGTTATCAGAAAGAGCGATACAAATGCAGAAGGGCAAGTACCTATGTTTCATAGACTACGCAAAGGCCTTCGACACAAGGATCTGATAGAACTGCTCAGCAACTTTGATATATTCGGGAAAGATATCAGAATAATCAAGAACCTATGTTGGCAGTAAACAGCAATGCATGCACATATACAAAAATATGGCACATAAAAGAAAGGAATTTTTTGCCTTGTCTAAAAGTACCATTCTGGTACTATGGGCTCCCCCTCGCTCCGATTGAAAAGGACACCTACGTAGCCAACTGGACTGGGTATTATTGCGCTGCCAATAAAATCGAGATGGGATTATTTCAACACCGCTGTTCTAAAGTAAGGGAAAGGAAATGAATAAACAAATAATTTTAGAACAGAGTGAAACTCGACCGGAAAGTATGGAATTTCAGTCATGGGCTTACATTTTATGATACTTTCTTTGTAATTTACATGTTGGGTTGTTTCTTTCGCTAACAACTATGCATTCACACTCCTAGAAAATGTCAAAAAATCTATAAGGACTTGGAATTAAAAGGTAAGTTAGAAAAGAAAAAAAAAACAAACGAATGTATCCTATCTCCGACTCTTTTTACCGTTTAATGTATCAAAAGAAAAACGATAAAATTAATTTTTTTTTAGGTACAGAGGAAAGAAAATATCTGTAATAAGAATACTTCACATCCAGTTGTTTTGCAAGGATTGTGGAAAGGTAGACATTTTTTCTCATTTCCTTTTCATATTTACATTGTTAAGGTACATTTCAGTTAAAAAAAAGAAAAGAAACCAAAAGCATATGCATTTCAGGTTACAAAACGTAACATATCGAGTTACGCTTCAGTTACACTCAAGTAAAATGTTATCGCAATGGGTGTCACCTGAACTTCATGAATTAAACATTGCGTTTACCTCGTACAGTGTCCTGCCTTCACTTCTTTTTGAACTAAGCGCTTCTGGGCGCGGGAGTTCATGGCTCTCCTTAACTTCCTTTCCTTTGGACATCTAAGTAATGTTTGTGACCATCCCACCCAATTCCTGTTCTGCCATCCATTTATGCAAGCTTCTTAAGTAGGTTGATCATGGCTCTCCACAACTTCCTTTTCCTTTGTAACTATAAGCAATGTTTATGTCCTTACTATCCCACTCAGTCTCTGTTCTACCATCCATTTATACAAGCCTAAGTAGGTTGAATATGGCTCTTCACTACTTCCTGTCCTTTGTAACACTAAACAATGTTTGTACCCTTACTATCGAACCCAGTCCCTGCCATCCATTTACACAATCTTGTTAAGTCGGTTGATCATGGTTTTCCACAACTTCCTATCCTTTGTAGCTCTAAGCAATGTTTGTTCTGCTATCCATTTATACAAGCTTGTTATGTAAGCTGATCATGGCTCTCTACAACTTTCTGTCCTTTGTACACAAGCTTCTTCGGTAGGTTACTAGCTGTTTCCTTCTGATCCACTCGCTTCCCATATATCCCGTGAATGTCAGATACCTCTTTCATTCTGTGTGCGGGAAATTGCAACTGTCCCTTTCTGATTCTAAGTAAAAATCTTCTATTTGTGTTCATTTTCCACATAATTTCCTTGTTGGCTACATACTCCGACTATTCTCAGCATCCTTCTGTAAAACCCACATCTCTATTGCCTGAAGTCTTCTCTTCATCTGTGCCATATAGGAGACCGATATAGTATCACAGTTCCATACACTTTTCTTTCTTTCCTGTTTCTTAATACTTTGCTTAGCTTTTGTAAAGCATCTTTCGCTATTTCAGCATATACACTATTCGTATTAACAAGGTTGTTGGTCGACTAAATACAAAAGTCCTCTCACTGTAGACATAAGAAAGAAAATATAGTTGTCTTATTTTTAAAATTTTATTTCGCAGCCACACACGAACGAAAACAAAGAAAGAGTTTGGCGAACAGGAAGCTGCTAAATTTCTTATTTTTTTTATCTTGTCTCTAAGTTTGCTAGATTATTGCTTAGCGCAGGGTAGGGGTTATCCAGTCTGATCGGAAGGGGGATGTATTATTCGAATGTCTTATTTCAAACTCAGGCAAATAATGTGATTACGTGTGCGTGTGCTTATGAGTACATTAAATGGTCCATGCACACGTATGCCACTCACGCTCAGCACTTGCATACGCATATACGTTAGATAGGCGCCTACAAAGTCACATGCAGACAGACAGAGAATTATGTCTTCTTTTCTATTATAGAGTTAGAAAATATTCGGTTTTGTCTCTTCTGTCTCGTGAACATTTGCAACGGTTTAAAGCTAAATTATCTTTTTTTGGCGCGCCTTTTTATATCCTATCTTAAATGCCTGCTCAATAATTATCTCTTTCTGCTTATCTCACTATTTGTCTCTTTCTCTTTTCTCTCTCTCTCTTTCTCACTGTTTCTATCATTTCTTTTCATTCTCTTTCATTCTCTCTGTTTCATACATTGTCTTTTTCTCTCTCACTTTTTCTCACTTTCACTCTCTCTCATTCTCATTCTTTCTCTCTCTTTCCCTCGTTTTCTCTTTTTCTCTCTCTTCCTCTTGTTTTGTCTTTTTCCTCTTTTTCTTTTGTTTTTGTCTTTCTCACTCTTACTCTCGTTTTCTATTTCTCTCTCTCTTTCTCTCATTTTCTCTTCTTATTCTCTCTAACTTTCTCACTCTTTGTCTCTCTATTTTTCCCTCTCACTATGTTTCTCTCTTTCAATCACTCTTTATCTCTCTTTTTGTTTATCTCCTCTATCTCTCTCTCCCTATTTCTTTCTCTCTTTCCAACTCTTTTCTCTTTCTCTCCCGCTCTTTTTCTCTCTTTTTCTCACTCTTTCACTTTCTATCTCTCGTTTTTCTCTTTTCCTTTCTTCCTCTCGTTTTTTCTCTATTTCCCTTTCTCTAGTTTTTCTTTCTCTCGTTTTCTCTATTTCTCTCTCTCTTTCTCTCCCTTTGTCTCTCTTTTTCTCACCTTTTGTCACTCTGTTTCTCTCTATCACCATTCTATCTCTTTCTCTCTCTCTGTCTCTCTTTTTATCACCTTTTGTCTCTATTTCTCTCTATCCCTATTCCTTTCTTTCTTTCTTTTTATCTCCTCTTTATCTCTTTTCCTCTTTTTTATATCCTCCTTCTCTCTTTTTCTCTTTCCCTCTTTCTTTCTTTTTCTTAACTCTCTCTTTCTCTTCCTCTTTCTCACTCTTTGTCTCTATATTTCTCTCTCTTTCTCTTTCACTGTCATTCTTTCTCTCTTTTTCTGTTTATCTCCCCTTTCTCTCGTTCTTTCTCTCTTTCTCACTCTTTTTTTCTTTCTTTATTTTTCTATTTCCCTTTTTTACTTTTTTCATTCTTTCTCTTCTCCCCTCTCTCTCGCTTTGCATTCATTGTAATCAAGACAAGAAAATCACTATGTTGCTTTTAATATATTTGAAGAAAAGTTTCGAAAGCCTAAGTATTTCTACATTTATCTAAACATTGCCGAACAGTGTTCTGATATTTAAAAATCTACATATCAAATTCTCCTCGAAATGTTTTATCCTATTACGAATCATTCGGTGCTATCTCGGCGAAGTAAAAACAACAAAAAAAAAAAATTCAGCAATTGCTATCTTCTCTTACCAGTTACTTTCACTCTCAGACGGTTAGCGTCAAAGCAAATTGAATTTTCAAGAAACGCGCAACCATTTTGTTTCTGAATCAAGTTTGCATGTTTTTATCGTTAATCATGTCTGTAACCTAAATGCAATTTATCATTATATATAATATATTAAGAGTCGTTGACATAAGAATAATTGTTCGCTTCAAGAACTAAATGTTTTGGAAGAGATTGTTCAGGTCTCGACGCAATGTAAGTTTTTGGTCGGAAACGATGTTTTTAACGTAGTCTATTACATGAATAGAATACTTAAAAAATTATTACAAAGATAATATATTAATGACATCCTATTTATTGTAACCTTTTTGCACCTGAAACACTTGCCAAGATTCCTGACCACTGACAATAACTCACTTCTTGATTTTTTATAAAATTCTATACAATCCTATTATCTCAGAAAGGATTGCATGAGTCCGTGACCACTGAAAATTTTTTTTATTTTTCTCTGTAAAGATGTTTTTATGCAGTAATTTTATTAACAATGAACTTATATATATATATATAATAGCTCTATCCTATCAGTAATCTTTACATTAATTCCTGATCAATGACAATCCATTTCTTCCTGATTTTCAACTCATTCCTATAGTAAAATCATTAGCAATTAATTTACATTATATAATAGCCTAATTCACTCAGTAATGCTTGCATTTATTGCTGACCAGTGGCAATCCCTATCTTCCTGATTTTAATGCATTCCTATAGTAAAATTATTAACAATGCATTTACATTAAGCATAATAGTTCTATTCTATTAGTAATACTTAAATTCATTGCTGACCACTGACTACAACTTTCTTCAATGCATTTCTGTTTCAAATTAATTTACAATACTTTTTTTCTGTATTTATTTTCTGTTCATTTAAAGGAACACACCGTTTATGTGCATGGGTAGCAGTGCTACAACCAGATTTTTGGAGATAAACAGACAATAGAAAAATTATTGTATCAGACAATTCGAAACAGGAACATTCGAAAAGGAAATTTGAGAAAAGATTAAACATTGTTCGAGCAATCGCGTTCTTCAGGCTAACAATCTAAGGTAGTTCTACCGACGGCATATGTTTTGGCACTATTATTATTATTTAGTAAGTTAGTTTTGTTATTTCAGTTCAGGGTTGGTAAATACCATCGTGTTATCTTAAATAAGCTCTCGCCAACCATTTCTAAGTTTTTAATTGTAATTCTTTCATCTTAAACTTTTCTTTTATATATGTTCAAGGTAGATAGCTGCAGTCATATTATTTGAAATTATTTTTTTACTGGCGACAGCTTATGATTTTTCCTGGTGCACATTGTATTATTTAACCCTTAGTTGTGTGGAAGAGTTTTTTGCGCGTAAATGAATCTAAAGAATCCCACTGGAATTCGAACCCGACTCTCTGGGTTCACATTATCCCTTACATCACCCGCACGTACTCGCTCTGTAGTAATATTTATTCTGTGTAAAATACAGAAATGTAGTACAAGGCCAAAATGGGGAATAGAGAAGGCTGGTCTTCTCATGTCTTATAATTAAACTTAACTATCTCCAATCACTGACCCAAATATATCACATTATTCCTTACACCAAAACAACACATTCTTTCTTACTACAGCCACCATAATAACTCAGTATCTCTATGAAGTTTTAACTAGTCCTCATAGATACAATTTTTGCCTGTGGCGCGGGGGGGGGGGAATAAAAAACACAATTTAAAAACAATTTAATCCCATTGTGTATTTACAATATGTGATAAAAATATTTACAAGAAACTAAACAAAATAGCATTAGTAATACCCGCCAATCCTTAATTGTGACAGAAATATCGGTTAACTGGATTAAATTAATGCGGGGTTTAAATAATTTAAGGCACTCACTCGTCCAACCACTCACTCAAGTACACACTCATTCAAACGCATCAACAAATACGAAAAGCACACTCAAAATACAAAAAGCGTTCCGCATCCACCAGAGAACTAACATCTCTGTTCACCTAACGGGGGAGCGGAATTAAACTAAAGAAAGAGGGGGGGCAGAAATAAAAGAGGCCAGTGCAGATACATCCTTTAGTTAATACTCGCTCTTTAATTGGGTGCACCAGATGATCCTGTGTTTATATACATTTTATCTTGCTCTTCTTTGAACAATGCTCCGCTGATCTATTAAACGTACAAATGCTTCATAAAATATTCTCTATTAGTATTCTATGCCGCTTTCAGATTGAAATTCTTGGATGCGTTGTTATAGTTATTTATTCTATTTAATGTTCATTCTATTAGTCTCATCTCTGTTGTTATTATCACAACTTTTCGGTCTTTCTACCCTCTGAAATTCTACAGGTGTACAGTGTGCTCGTCCTGTTCGTCATGTGAAAGGATTTCTCGTCTTGTTCTTAGTTATGGCGGAAAATAAAAATTACCAGCGATGAACTCTCCCCAAAGGGGTGGAAGCGCTGCTGTTGGTTGCTGGGGAGATTTGACTGACTCTTCTAATTTTCTCATAGCTGCTTAAAATGTGATTGTGATTGGGACTTGAATGGGGATTTTTGTAAAAAATTATTACCAGCAATGAATTATTGAAATACATTTTTTTTTACCAGCAATACATTATTACCAGCAATGCATTTTTGAAAAAAAATATTACCAGCAATCCTTAGGAGTCTAAGACTCTCCTACGCCGAGAAGGGATTGAACTCACAGTTACTGTTATCAACGCCCTTAATCCACTAAGCTATATTTCCCGTAGGATAATCTGAACGTTGGGAATGAAGGAGAGCACAACCGTCAAAAAGATTTGATAATTATTATCAAATCTTTGGTAGATTAGCGTATAGACGCTTATTTTTTTAAAATCATTTCACCAAAATTATGGTAAAAAGCCGCTAAGACGCAAGGTGCTAATGAGTGCCAAAGAATAACAGGAAAACAATATTGAAGAGAGAACAATAAAAGAACAGGAATTTCAAAGACAAGATAATGATTGACATTGAATTTAAATGTTTCATGATCAAAGTTGAATGGAAAGAAGAAACCGGAAGAGAGTTCCACAAGCGAGAAGAAACACGAGAGAAGAAACTGTTAGCATAGAACTTACGGTTACAGATATTAATTTTGAATGTAAAATGATTACATCATTTCGCCAATCTACTACTGTGTTTAAGTTAATAAATTCTATGTGCCATTTGGTAAAGTTCATGAGAACGACTACCATGAAAATATTTATAGATAAGGTATAAGAAAGCTACATTACGGTGGTGGGAAAGTGACTGAAAACGAGATGGCTGATCAGGACCGATAACATTGCAGATTGCTTCTTTGTTTCTCTTTCATTGTGTGTTTGTTTCCACCTTTTGGTTCAAAATATATGTGTTTACACGTAGTGTTTCTTCGCAAATGTATTTTGTTTTTCCGTTTGTTTTTACTTTTTTAAGCCTTAGCTGTCTCGGACAGGAAGGACAGTGTACTTGGACAGAGGACATCATCGCACAGGTAGCCCAAAACGACACTCTCAAGATAAATAATTATACTTCGAGCATAATAGCGGTAAACACTAACAGATGTAAAATGTGTTAGTCACTGGCAAACCGGCTACACTCTCTGCAGCATATAACATTTTTGCCAGGAAAGATTCAGAGGGCCTGCGGTCCGTACAGCATGAGAACAACATTCAAATGTCGACGCAGATACCTCACTGAAATTGAATATTAAATATTTACTGGAATAAAAAATGGCATATAAATGCGTGTATAAGTTTCCATAAATTTGAGTCAAGGATTAGACAGGCAAGACCAGTCGTTCGTTAATTATAAGATTTGCGAAAAGTCAGTAAGCAGTAAAAATACGATGAAATCTCATGTGTGAGAAGAAAAATGTCAACTTATACGAACACAAGTGAAAATAATAGAGCATAATAGCAGCTGCCACCAGTAGACGTATAAGCTTAGAAGACAAATGGTAAACCGGCTACAGTTTCTGCAATATATTAAAGTAGGTACCTCCACGAAATCGCTAAAAAAAGAGCATAGCTTGATGAAAAAGACGCCAAACTTGCCGAAAACTAAATTTTATTGTCTAAATGCTTATGTTATTATTAAGAGGAAAGACCAAAGATTTTTTTTAATTATTTTTAAAAAATTTTCCTTCTTTTTAGAACATTCTAAATTTTGATTAAAAAAACCTTTTTTCTATGTGTATCAGCGGAACTAGTAAATAACATAGACAATTTTTAGCACGTTTTTTTTGGTATGACACACATTAATTTGAAAAATCGTGCAAAAATAGAAATAATTATCGGATGTTAATGAAACTTTCAGAAACTATTCACAGATGATCGAAATTATTATAAATATGTTTTTTTATGAAAGTCATGGTAGAAATATTTTAAAAAAAATATTTATTACCCCCCCATAACTAATTTTATGAAAACGCTAGAAATTCGATCGCATCGGTTTTAGTGATTACAATAATTAAAAGCACAGGGTTTTGAGGAATGCAAATCATGTTTTTTTTTGTTTTTAATTGGATACGCAGTACCTGAAAATCAGCTCTGAATTGTAACATACAAAACTCAATAAAACAAATATATTATTTAATTTCAAATGCTTTTATTTGCTTTTAGTTGATTTTATGAATATGGACAATATTTTCTGAAAGCAAAAAAAATTTTTCGATGAAAAATGAATTTTTAATACAGTTATTTGTTATTTCATTAATTATAATAGATTTTACATTTAAGTTGTTAAAATATTATAAA